TTTGCTGGCTGTAGCAGCGCTATAGCGCTGCTATAGCGCTGCACAGCAAAAACGCATAAAAAGGGGACGCCACTGGTACATTAGCGCAGGATTAACTAGGCTTAAAAAGTGAAGTGACCTGGTATAGCTAAGCTCGATATGCAGCTGCACCCTTCAATGCATCTTCAACTATATATTGTACTTTTTACAGCCGGCGATTCCGAATCGATGCGTCTGATATAATTTTGTTTTCCACAACAACAACATTTGATCCATTTGTTGTGGAAATTTTTCTGGCTGCAATGAATGGTGCAAAAATCTTGCTTGTCCCAGACTGGTATCGCTCAACGCCAGCCAGATTGGCTGATGCGATTATCAAGCATGGTGCAACTTTCCTACAGGTCATTTCTCCAGAACCTCTTTTTTTAGGAAATTAAATAGCTGATATTCGTTTTTGGTGCAAGCTGTTCTGTTCAGTTTTCTGTTTGTCGTTAATTTTAGAGGATTAGGAATCTGAGATGTAATTTCCGATAGTACACATAAAAGAAAGCTGAACAAAAGCCGCAGGTGAATCACTGTAAAAACAGTTCGGCTAGCGAAGATATTTACATAAATATGGACCTTTGCCTAACAATCATCCTTCGAAAGATTAATATTTGCGTACTAAATAAAATTGCGTAAAAGCAGTTGTTCAGACAACGGAACCTCACACAAGCACATACTTCTTGTGTTGGTGAGCAAAATAGCGGGTTGCGTCCCCTTCGAGAAGTGTTCAAATTCTCGCTGATCCTGATCTATCTCACATTAGGAATGCATTTTTCCCGAAAGCTTTCCCCGTTGTTCAAAATATTGTGAAGCGTTTTTTTCCCTGCTCGTAAGCGTTCATGATGCCGTCATAATTATAGGCGTCTCCAGTGTATTTATATCTTAATCGGCGTCAACTCTTCCTTCCCAAGCAATTTTTTTGGAAGAAGGAGCCACCCACCCATAGCGGTATTCCTTAGCTACGCATCTCTATCACCGTTGCTGAAATTTTCTATCATTTTGGCGTTAGTTGTGTTGTTTACAAGTCTGCTTATTGTTTCCTTATGTAGTCTAGCATCCGGCACTTGCTGATTGTTTTTTGACTGAATTTCTCAATGCAGAGCTTTTTGTAAAATTTTTCATTTTTTGTTAAACTTTGCACCCTTCTGTTGAACTTTTTGCTGTTGTGATCGAGTGTTCCACCTTTTTCTGCTCACGGAGTCAATTTTGGCAGTTCCTGCTTTCAAAGCAAAAGAAGGGTAGTTACGTTCTTCTCTCTCTCCCACTTCTTTTCTTTCACGAAAGCTTAGCAGTGAGTTAAATTATAAAATAATCTTGCTTTTAGACAACACCTTCACAGCTGAAAATTTTTCCTCATGCGGCATTGATGGAAATTTTTGCTGGTCGTACATCCGTCCGAACAATACTTGTGGGTGGTGAAGCTTTCCCGATGAATTTTCTCCGAGGCTATCATATTGACGACAAATCTGTGGCATTCTACAATGTTTATGGGATTACAGAAGTGTCGTGCTGGGCTTCGTGTCAGAAAATCAGTTGGAAGTAAGTCTGATTTTCTGATGGTATAATTAAAAGAAAAGTGATAGTTATCTAGTCATTTTTGCCTTTTCCTCCTTTTCGTGTAGTTCTGTAAAATCACCTTACCCGTATGTAAATTATGGATTCGCATGGTACATTCTTTGCTAGTTGATTTAAGTCTTTTTTCTTGAGTGTAGCGAAGAGTTTGCTTTTTTACTGACCTATATTTGTTAGACGGATTTTCCTGCCGATACGTTCCTACCTCTGTTGGCTCTTCTGATGTTTCTGCGCCTGTAACAGCTGTTCACTGGACTTATATAATCCAGGTTGAACTGTGCAGCAGTCAAGGAATTTTATCATCAAAAGAGTAATAATGTGAAAGGTTGCAGGGAAGATGATGTCGAAATTGGTGAGCCGTTACTGGGAACAAAATTCCTGATCAATGAGCAAGGCGAATTACTGATTGGTGGCACAAGGCGTTGCATCAGCAATGGCGAGTGGTCCGGCACTTGGACTTCTACAGGTGATATTGTTGAGCGCAAAGAATCGGGGAAAATTTATTGGCTTGGTCGATGCAATGATCAGGTCCATGTTAATCAATTAAAGCATTACCTGGATGTTCCTGTATTTCGGGGCTTGGTATACTTCAAGTTCCCAAATTTCACTGGTAAAACCGATAATTTTGTACGATTTGGCAGCATGGCTTTATGTTTCATGTAAACTTAGTTCTGAAGAAGACAAGTCGTATTTTTTGTAGCAGAAAATCAACGGAATCAAAGTGAGCCTTACGGGATTGGCACGAAAAGCGGAAACATTCGATGGCATTCAGTCCGCTCTGGCCTTGCAATATGCACAATCCGTGTTGTTGTTTGTGCACGTTAAAAATAACTCGGTCCAGTCGGAATTGCTGAAAAATATATCAATAGCTGGCTTACTTTTTATTGTTATCCCAATGGAAAGCTGGCCTTTAACTCTGAATGGTAGGTACTTCATCTAATTTTTTGAAGTATTCATCATATTTTGAAAACTCCCCATCGTTCAAAATGTATCATTGCTACTTTTCAAGTTAGCAGTCCTCCTCCTTAAACTCTGTGAGGATCTGCACACGGGAAGTTTCCCAGATGGTAACAATTGCTTGCACCAGTCATTTGATAGCTCCTTCCTTCGAGGACTACTTACAAGCAAGCTAATAATGAGTTTGAGTCACTGGCGCATGCCAGTATGAGTTCAGCATCGAAACGAATAAGCGAACCACAGAGGGGTGGATGTTTTGCCGGCTAAGTCAAATCCTCGACTTATTGCACGACAGAGGTGCTGCTTTCCACCGATCCTGTATTTAAACAGGAAAATCTTATTTTGTTCGAAACAGACATCAGTTCCTGAGTTAAACCTAACCACATTTCCTACAAAAATATTTCGATCAAACATTTCTCGTCTTTCAATCTTTTATAACTTAAATTGAAATGTTCAGGCTGTAAAAAGATTATTCGATTTGTTTGAAACGTAGTGTCTTTTTTCAGGAAAAGTCGATCGACAGAAGCTTATGCAAATATTCAAGCAGCGCGATTTTGTTTTTACAGTGAACGATTTAAGTGATTTGCTTTCTAAATTCGGTAACATTTTCATAAAATTTTCCTAAATACATCGATAATTTGCTCAATTTGAGATTTTTTTTTTGCTTATGTGTGTTCTGCCAACAAATTCAAAAACCATTGATCTCTGCCATATCAGAAAGTGGAAAATCGCGTCACTTATCGTAATGCGAAGAAATAGCAGGGGCACTTCAGGCAATTATGTCTTTTGAGGAGAAATTTTTGCGAGCTTTATAGTGGTTTACGGATCTAATCTGAGATACTGTTTGCACTCGCGGCCTGTAGAAACACCATCATTTTCTCATTTTAATGTGGGAAGTGCTCAAAACTGTGTGAATTTTTCAATAAAATGTTGAATGAACTTGTATTTTCTGCTACGATAAACTTTTTTAACATGCCTTTTTTGTTTTTCCTGAACTAAAAAACAAAAGATATTGCTAGCTATATGATCGAAGCTTTCAGGAATTTGTTTGAAAAATGATCGAGAAAGAACGTTTGCTGCTTTGGGCTTAACATCGCTTCGCGCCACTGAATTGACGATCAAGACGGAACACCTTCTCAAGCAGCGTGATTTCCCTCTTCTACAATATTTTCTTTCTGATACAGCAACGGTCGCTGGTTTTCTGGATTTGTTGAAATTTGGTGAAGTTTTCTGGGATGCACCCTTATCGTGTTCGCAGGGATATGTTATTAAGCCAGCAATATCGAGGGAAATTTATCCAGAATGGGAGTATAACTTAGGGAAGTGCATCGATGCGACGCCTGTTGTTGAAAGCGGGTATAGATTACCGTCATTTTGGTTAAATTTCTAAACATCCAAACTATTTAAATTTTTATTAATTAAATTGTTGTGCGGGAACGTAAATTTAATGCTGCACAAACAGCATTTTTTTTAAAAATTTCAATATTTGAGATCGGTCTTCGTGGGTTCGCACTCTGGAAGATTTGTTTCATTGTCATTGGATGGCGCGAAGAATTGGGAGGTTGAAATTGGAGGGCGAATCGAAGCAACGGCGTGTTACCAGAGTGGTATCATTGCTGTCGGTTCGATTTTTTTTTTTTTTTTGTTTTCTGTACTTTGTTTTTTTCTTAACATTTTACAAAAATTTTGTTGAAAAGGATTCTGATTGAACTATTCACTGTCAGCGTACGTTGTGTCCTTTGTGTGTGCAGCAGATATAGCATTGTGCGTTTCTGACAAAAAATTTTTATTTTAGCAACTGCGGTAAAGTCGCACTTTTTTGTTTTCTACGCAAATTTAAAATGCTTAGCGCTTTGCTTGATTATTTTTAACGCTCTGGCGGTTTTGGTGCTTTTGATATGAGTAATCATTCCTGAGTCGTCTGAGGGTTGTTCTAGGTTGTTACAGTGGTTGCTTGTATCTCATTGATGGGAAGAATGGGCAAATTATCTGGCAGTATCAAGTTGGAAATGCAATCAAATCTCGCCCTGTGCTTTTCGATGATGCGGAAAAGTGTGTATTCGGCTCTCACGATAAATTCCTGTACATGCTGGATATCAAGGTTTGTTTAAAAAGCCATTCTCCAGTAGAGAATGAACTGAGTTGTTGCGGAGGTAACCGCAGTGAAAATGCCATGTAAAATGAAATTAGTAAGTTGCAAATTTTGTTCTTCAGGAGCAAAAGTTGTTGTGGAAAGTAGCTTGTGATGGGTCCATTTTATCATCACCTTTACTTCATAACGATGCGGTGTTTGTCGCCACTCTGCAGGGTGAATTTCTGGCTGTTGACCTGGTGAGTTTTGGCATTTTATAATTTGTGCCAGCCTAAAAGTACGTCTCTTTGCTAGGCAAATCACCTCAAGTCAGTGACGCTATTTGTGGTGTATCTGTCTTAGGTTCTCTGCCGTTAATTGCGGCCGTATTTAGGTTGTGCAGAATAAACATTGGAGTTATTCCGTGGTGGCAGTCTACTAGGAACTAAAGAAGGAGAAATGTTCCCAATTTTTAGTCAAAAAACTCTTTCTTGATACAAGGTCTGGTGGAGTTCGGAATAAATCTCGGAACTAAAGTAGGTAGATTTTGGAGGCTTAGGCTAAGATTTTGACAGTAAAAGATTAACGTAGAAACTCCTCGATGAAGTGGAAGAAAATGATAGACTATTTAGCAACATGTAAAATAACCACCGCAAAAAAGTATGCGCGCGCTTAGCTCGGTCTGTGTTTACAGCTAAGGAATGAGACACAGACTGTATCCAAATATGTCTTCTTGCTCGTGGCACTTCGTCTAATCCCTTACCTCTTCTAATATTTCGAAGAGTCTTGAAGTAGTTGCAGTCTTTTCAGTAGTATATACAAAGATTTTGTTTATTTACAAGTTTAAAATTGTTGGGGAATTCATTTTCAGAAGCGAGGTAAGAAAAAGTGGAAGAAACAGTTCGCTGCCCCAATATTTGCCGATTTGTGCGCTGTCGGGTTGAGTCATGTTCTGGTTGTGGATGTTAAAGGGAAGCTGGCGTTGTGCGACGTAAATGACGCGGGCCGCATAGTAGGGTTTTTATTGCTTACAATGTTTTTTAAATTTTTCTAATAATATAAATAAGAGTTACTCGTTTTCAGGAGGAGGGAAGTCTGCAGAGGGGAAAAGATGGCATGTTTTTAATGCGTTTTTTGCAGCAATGCAGTGCGAAAAACGCATATTGACGAGAGGTTGTCTGTGTGTCCGTA